TAATAATAAATTATAGCTAGTCACTCCATTGTTCTCTAGCAACTACTACATTTTTTTTTTCCTGTGAACAGCACAAAGTAGAGAAGAACAAGCCCACTTCAGAAAACAAAAGCATTCCTTGGCCTGTTCCCTCAAAACCAAACAAAAATTAGCTCCTCCTAGAAAATATTGAATGAACTTTTGGTATGTTTACCTTTCCTTCTTTCATTTTTTCTTTCCCCCTCAACATAACATGGGCAATAAGGTTATCACATTTTTTTCTAGTCCAGCCTAAGGCATAAGTGAAATCTTATAGAAAAGTTTTTCCCCATAAAATGCTAAATTCATTTTTCGACCTTCAGTACCTCAAACACAGAAAGATTTTCTAGTGTTAACGCACCAAATGTTCTCACCGAATGTGATTCATGCTTCTTCATGTAGTTTATAAAGTACCTTTTGCAATGAGAACAAATACTAATTCACACTGACAAAAGTTTGCTCTGTACTGAAGTGAAGAAAAAAAAAGCTAAGTTAGCACTTCCTTCTAATTCTTTGTCTCTGATATTCTCTAGAACAAGGGTCAGCAGCCGGTAGCACTTGCACAGATTTAGCATTTGGCATATCACAAAGGTTGCACAGGGTCTAAGAAAAGCAACAGCTCCTGGGTCATAATGCCAACTCTCCACCAGCTGCCCCAGTGATCAGCTAACAAGCTGTGTCTTGCCCCTTGGAAAGCATGTTCACTGAATATTAGCTCAATGCACTGGCTCTGACACAGGGAACAGAGTCACCTGCTACTGACTGACTCACTGCAGCTACTGAACAGCGTGACTTCCCCTGGTTTGGCTCCCCTGCTCCAGCAAAGTAAAGTCAGTGGCTGAGAGGTATTTTCCTTAAAGAATTCTTGAGTTGTACCTCGACTTGCGCTGTCTGGAAGGAGAATGCAACACAGGTAACCAACCACTCTAGCAAGCACTGATCACAGGGTCTTTGTGGTTTACATTACAGCACAGGTAAGGATTCAGTTTGGGTTCACATCTCCATTCAATAAGCAATTCAGATGTAATCCAAGGAACTGACCTCCCTCTGAAATACCAGATTGATGCTTTATGGTACAATCCATGTACTGCTGTTCTTCTTGTAGGCTGAGTGCTAACCAACTTACAAAACTAGAGCTATACAATAATTTGAGGAGATAATTCAAAGAACTGGCTTCACCCAATGAGCATATAGATCCAAAAACCAAATTAGCAATGCATTTTAAAACAATAAGGCAGACTGTAGCAGCCAGGTAACAATTTAAAGAATCAGTTACACTCTCATGGTAAAATGCATGCAAAGAACACATAAAAGCTATTGTAAGTATTTTTGTCTGAGGAACAGCAACATCCATCATTATAATAAGCTGTTCTCCCAGGCATACATTAATCTGGGTGTTAAAAAATTCCAAAAGGTAAGCAAAGGATTTGGGTATTTTTCCTTTGTTACTACTTTTCCCTATGACCCACCCAAATGCACACAGATAAAGAGCCAAATTTTATCTGGGGTCTTAGACAAACAAAATGGACGCAAAATTAACCCTATTTAGCTGTGCCTATGCAGGGTATGGACATCGTTTGTTCTAAGGATGTCAGCAGCCAAAGATTTTCAGTCAGCAGTCCTCACCGTCAGTCTGGAATGGGACTGTGGTTTCCAACACTTCCTCTTGCTAACACACAGAAAAGTACTGAATGGGTGCTAGGGAGCTCTGCTTCTTCAAAGGGATTGCAACATCAATCCCAAGGACAATTATACCTTTCGGTGAAATTAGTCTGGCAACAGGGCATTCAATTCAACAGCCTCAAGATACATATTTTTCTTATTGAAAAAGGCAACATTTATCAAGGTATACAACATTATCATATTATACAACTAATGCCAAGCTATGTAGACTACTTTGGCATATATCCTGAGTTCTTTAAAACATCCTAAAAGTATACTTATTTACACTTATTTAAACAGGTATATCATTTTTTAATTTTTAAGCTACTGATATCAAAACTACTAGAAAGAAAGACTAGTGCATGATAATGGAGGAAGTTCAAAGAATAATTGGAAACAACTGTATTCTGATGTCCAAAACATTTACATTGCTTGCATCAAGGAAGACCAAAGAAGAATGCATTCAACAAGTATCATCAATATTTCTGCCAAATACTTTCCTTTTTTTTTTTTCTTTTTTAAAATAATGCTGTACTTGAGGCAGAATAACCATCAGCTTTTTGACTTTTTTTTTTATTATTATTATTTTTTTTTTTAGAAGATGCAGGGATTACTGTTAGCTTTTTATTTTTAAATACTTGGAAAGTATTCAAATGCAATGGCAATGAGATAAAGTTAGAAAAACAGATTTTGCAAGCAGTATAATACCAGCCTAAAAGAAGGACTGCTGTATGATTCGAAGTTCCATTGAAATGTTCCATTAGAAACAAGAACTGAGAGAATGCTCAATGGTATATTTGAAGGTAAACAGTTTGTATAAAAAAACACTGGTAAACAATCGCGATTTTCAAATGTAGAAGTAATTAAATTAATTGCTCTTTGATATTAGCCTCCACATCACAATGGGCTGCTTTGATTAATTCTGTCCAAGCAAACAATTTACTTGCAACATCGTAGCATCAATAATTGCAATCAGTCAGGAAAAGAAAACATAAACATATTCCACCAATAAGTATGTAAAGTGGATGAATGAACACCTAACTTTCTGTCCGCACTTCGCTAAGAGCTCTAAAATGCTGAACTTAGGGGCAGCAGATCTAATTGAAATTCACACTGAGACAGCTACACTGTGAGGCATCAAAATATCAGGTGAAAAAACTAAAGAACAAATGGGAAAACTTTTTACTAAGATAAGCTATGTTTCATTTTTGTTTTGCCACTTCCACTTCAAAAACAATCCTCCCATGAAGTTTAAATTAATAAAAAAATTACAAATCATAAAGTTTTTTGCTGTTCTTTTTCACCACAACTGTAGCTTGGGATGCTGTATCTGAGAAAGGTAAATTTTCAGTATAATGTTACTGCGGAAGTCTCACACCTCACTGCCACAAATATTACTTAAAGCATTTTAAGCCATATTTGGCTTGAATTGTGGTGGCTGAGGAGCAAACACAGGTCAGCTGCTGTTGCAACTGCTACACTGCAGTAAATTCCAGTTGAAGGACGAACTTAACTGTGGTACAGTTTTAAAATGTTTTCAACTGAAGTTGTCGTAAGATCATAAGCCAGAGCTCCGAGCAATTTGATTAGAATCAGAGAGAAACTTAATTAGTGGAACTCCAGAATTAGTATTTGATGAGCTGTGTAATTCATACGTTATATTTGCAGCACTACTAGCTGTAACATCTGCAGTATGAATCAACATCCATCCCCTCATGTGCCATAGCTCTGGCCTCACATGAAATGCAGATTTGTGCCAAGGTATATACTGAAAAAAATCAGAACTCTCACCATTCCACAATCAAAGAATTCATTAATGATTTGCTGCTTAAATATTTGTCAGGTCTGCTGGCAGGTTCTCATTACTTAGCCTTCATTTTAACCAACTTCAACAGGTAAAATTTGGAGATACTCCCTTCTAGAGGCAAGACTCCATCAGTCAGTCAATTGGCAGCATCCTGTCTCTCATGGAACCCAGCATGCAATGAATGCCAAGTTCACTGAGAGAAAGGCCTCTGCCTTTCACTGGGCAGAACCTGAATTTACTTCTCTGGGAGGATACTTGCCAAATCTATTGGCATGTACCAGTTAGCAACACTAGAGAAAATCTTGCACAGAAGGAAAGCAAAGTATTCTCCCCTCAAGCAGCTTCAGGAAGCATGCTCATCCAGATATTCCACACCCACTACTTTTGAACACTAGCACAAAGGCAGAATGCTTATGTGTATCAAGCTAGTCTCAGTGTAAAATGTCTCTTTCATACTCCTGCAAACTACAGAGGTGCCTGTTCAGACTTTAATCATACTCAGAAAAATCTGAAGATACTTTTCCATAATGGACTGGTTAGACTTCCTGCCTAGGATTACAGCCAATTAAATAAATACATAGTTTGGCTTTAAATAAACATAAACATTTTAAATGAACAGGTTTTTTTTGTTTTGTTTTGTTTTTTTTGTTTGTTTGTTTTTTAGTGCTGAAAGTTTTTGTTATTGCTGTTCCCTTTTAAAACGAAGCGTTCGAAGTTTCAGTAAGAAAGCTTGGGTCTCAAACTCTCAAGCTTTATTTTAGATTTTTCTCTTTGTAATGATGAAAACACTACTTGAAACAAGCAAGATATAATGAAATCAGCTCTGCTGTGAGACAGGACTGTAGTTTTACCTGCTTCCTTCCCTACAATTATTCCAAAGGAGAAAGACAAAGTAAGTTATATCAGTATTTACAGTCAAACAAAATGATAAAGAAGAGTGCTTAGTAAACAGTAGGCAATAGAGAAAATACAGTAATTTGGAGTTACGTCTTCACTAATATCTAGTAATTCACAGGTGACATGTTACAGCTACGTGATGTATTTTATTTGACACGTTCACAGTCTTTTTAAGGTCAGTCACAAATCCAAACAGTTAGCAGACAGATCATTTAATAAAATCAAATTTATACAACTATTACTGTGAGAAGCAGCGTTTCACCTATTAATTTTTTTTCTAATACAAAACCGGCTAGTCAAATCAACACAGAAAGAAAAACAATAAATAATGAAGTTACGAGAAAATGTTTGAGATGTTATCAAAGCTGTAAATATACAAAACATTTCTAATGATATTATAACACACTCCACACGTTTTCGCTTTTTTTTCCCCCCCTCTCCCGATATCTGCAGCTCCTAATCATTTATTCTATAAATACAGCTTAGTCGACTAAGGCTGAAATGTGCTAAGATGCAGTAACGTTTCAAATTCATACATGAAACAATTTGGAAGCTTCCCCCAGGCATTCGCGGCTGCGGCTCCCGCTGCTCTGCTACCCACAATCCCCCCATTTACCTGCTCGCTGGGCTGCCTCAGCCCTGGTCAGGAAGTGGTAAAGCTGATCCAGCTTATCAGGCTGCTCCTCCAGGGACTGCCGCTGCCATATGGCTGACCCAGGCCCTGCAGCCTCCCTCAAGGCATTCCACTTCTGTATCAGAGTGAAGAGCTCGGAGAAGGACTTGTGATAACCCTGTCGCAGCATGTCTATGCAGATGTTCTCCTTGTATGAATTCCTGTTACTGGGAATAAGAAAGATGGATTTTAAGCCTTTAAACCCATATTCTCTTCTCCACCTTACCAAATAAGCACAGATACAGCTTTCAAGACCAGACCTCTGCAGATCACCAGCAGGGAACGTTTTTTTCTTTCCTCTTCTCAAAAAGCATTCTGCCAAAACACAATTACAAATATCCCCCCCTCGGGAAGTGAACTTGGTATTAAAGAAATACCCAAATATACTTTGCAAACATGCTCAAAATGTACTGGTATCCTTCAGCTGGTACTGGTAAAAAAAAAAAAAAAAAAAAAAAAAAAAAAAAAAAAAAAAAATTAAAAAAAAAATTAAAAAAATGCTGACTGATGGGAAAAATACATGTTTTCATTAGTTTATGAAAACACAATAAACTCTTACTTTGCTTTAAAACAGCGCACAGGGAAAAATGTAGCAGATTCCACACGTTAAAAAGAAAAAAAAAAAGTGTATGTTAAATAGTTTTGCTGTAGGATATAATGCCTTGGTTTAAAATGTCAAACAAATGCTATGCCAGAAACATAATCATTAGATATTATTTTTCTTTTTAGCACAGAATTTCGGCTGGGACTGGTTTACTCCCTAATTTTAAAATCAAAGGATGCAATGATGAATTTATATCCAAGTTATCCCATTCATAAATTCTGATAAAATATACATATCAAAAAATTGCATAATGAAATAGTCTCAAGAGGTAATACATCTTTTTAGGTATTATTTATGGAAATAATCCAAACATTTCTTTTATGTGGCATGAAACAATTATTGTGTCCCATCCTGGAGAAAGCTATGAGTCCAATGGGACCACCTGCATCACTGAAGTACAGATCTAAACGTCTGCAGAAGTAGGTCTCCAGTTTGAGAAAACAAATCCTTGTCCCAGTGAAATGACAGGGGCCTAGATATGGTAATTTTATTTCGCAGATTCCATTCAAGTTTTCAATATGTTTCCAAAATTGTCTTTTTAGATGAGATTCTATTTAAGTACAAATTCTCAGCGGCTATAAAATAAATATGGAATTTTGAAAACTGAGATTTACACAGTATGCAAGAAATTCAGATGATCTCACACTGAACAATACCCCAATGAGACCAATTGTCCTAGCCTACAAAGAGCTACTGTAGCTTTTTAAAATGGAATTCATATAAAAATGTCTTAACTAGATATCAATAAAGGAAACAGTAACATGAGGCATGATAAGTAAATACTCTGCATTATTTCATGCTCAGTACCATTAAAAGAAATCTATTAATTACTATGTAGATTCACATTAATCCAGCATATGTATTTCTTACACTCCTGTAGCAGAACTCAAAACAAAAACATTACACAACTCTAAAAGATACGTGAGGACTTTTACAGTTCTCACTTCTGAATTTATTTGTGTGTATGTTTTGTTAAGATTGAAAACACATACTAGTCATACATATAAAAGAAAACACATAACTGTTCCTTACCAGAAAACATTTGCAACATTTATTTTCAAAAACTGAGAAGAGAAATATATTAACATTCATACTTCTGTGGGCCAAAATATTTCTGGTACATCCCACGTTCACAGTATGCAGCCTCAAAATACTGTGTAGTTGTTATATTCATATGGTGCAATTTATTTTTTACTTTTTATATGTAAGATTTATTCTTTTTAAACTTCTATTTAACCATTTATAGAAATGAAGACGACTTTTAAGCAAAAAATTTCCACCATCTTTCAAAGGATGAGAACCGAACCTTCCAGTAATAGGATTTCACAACAATGGAATAAAGACTGTATACAGATCTGCACATCTGTATTTATCTACCTACTGTGGTTTGTACATTACATATGTGTACATGCCTTAGATAATTGTATGTGCTAGAAGTAAAGAAGTAATTAGCTGCTTAAACATATTAATAAATTATTATTCATATATAAAAAATATATATTAATGTATTAATATCCATTCATATATTAAAAATATACATATAAATAATAAATAAAATATTGGTATTCTCATTTTTAGCTCTTAATACCCAGTACCAATATTTTGAATCAACAGAAAATCTGTGCATTTTACCTGATATCAAAGCACATTTTCTGTAAAAGACAGTGTTATCATCAAATGAATAGAAGAAAACAAACAAACAAAAATGCTGGAATATAAGTCTGTCCTAAAAATTAGTTTTACTATTCTTTTAATACAAGCCCATGCCAATTAATAAAGAGATTCAGATAGTAGTTAAGATGCCAAATGTATGGAATGCATTTATTCTTAGATAATGAGGACTGGATTGGCAACACACAAGCAATGAGACTATCTACTACTGTATAACCACTCAGATTTTGGAGGCACAAGGATGTAAGCTGTCTCCCAAAGTTATAGAATCATAGAATTGCTCAGATTAGAAAAGACCTTAAAGATTATCAAGTCCAATAGCAACCTGACCATGCTACCTCTAACAACCCAGCACTAAATCCTGTCCCTGAGCACCACATCCAAACAGTTTTTAAACACATCCAGGGATGGCAACTCAACCACCTCCCTGGGGAGCCCATTCCAGTGCTTAACAACCCTTTCAGTAAAGGAGCGTTTCCTGATACCCAAAAAGCAAAATACTACATTTGTTTCCTTTAAGAAGTTTAGGACATAAGATGTGACTGATAATACAGAAAGTATAGAGAAAGGGTAGAAATGAATGATATGGGGATGAATGTTACGGGTGAAACCTCCTAAATGAGAGTTTGGCACAGTAACCAATTCTGAATTTGTTTCAGTTCTCTCAGTGATTCCAGACAAAAATCCTCTCCAGAAAGCAGCGCTTTTAGCCAGAGTGGTGCAGGTGACAGAAGCAAAGGCCAAGAAGAACTTTTTGTGGTACCTTGAAATAAGCCATGCATTGTTAATAATCAACATGCTTTTCATATCTTTTCCTATGATATCACACAGCATGTGAAGTGAGATACATTGCTGCAGATAACTTTATTCTTGATATCAATATCAAAAACAGATACCTAATTAGATGTCCATGATTTATTTTATAAAGTCCAGCTGTTAGCTTTACGTTTCCTCTGCATTAATAAACAAGGTTATGCTAAACCTTTTGGCTTTCTATTTTTTACACTAATTACTATATATTAAGAAATAGAGAAGTTTACTTTATCGCACCCACCCGATTTTAGGCTTCTTTCGAACAATTATGTTACTTGGAGAAGGAAAATGAAAGAAGACTGCCCTTTTATTTGGTTGAAGAGGAGACGTTCAAGAGGTTTAATGGTCTCTGGGGGCATCTACTGGAAATGTGGAAAACTGCAGTCACGACGCGTTAATCACGCCGCTGTCAAAGCGACGAGGCACGGCCGCAGAACAAAGGGAACAGCCGCCCCGCGAGCAGCCGGAGCAGCGACTTTATGTTTAAAGCTGAGAGCAATGGTTCTGTTTCTAATCTAAATCACACACATTTCTTTTTTTCCTGAATCCATTTCGATCGACAGATGACACTTAACACACAGAAGATGCTGGGAACCCACTGCTCACCTGCCCACACGCTGGTCTCCGTTGATGCCATCAGATGTTTATTTATGCAGGTCGGGTCACACAGTGACGTGAGGTCCACTTAGCGATCTGGTTGGGTACTAACATTTGGCACACGTGCAGTTACTGTGATGCAGTATTTTATAGCTACTTAGATAATTTTCTTTTATGGACTTATTTTATTTTTGTTGTTGCTATTCTAAAACTATCCGGAGCCACCCTGAGGAAACTGATTTGAGCACAGAAGCCTGACTCTAATCTGTACTTGCTTATGCAAAAATCAGAAACGCCCATGTTCACTGGAGCTAATGAAACAACACTGCTGCTGCAGTCTCAGGCATCTGCTGGTACAGTACTGTTACAGGACTCTTAAGTAATGCTTGGAGACTGGGAGTGCCATCCCTTAACTGCTAGTCCTATGGCATTCTGCCCTTCACAGAGAGAAAAGGAGACAGAAATTAAGAGGCCACGAGACAGGTGCTGGTAATAATCAGAACACTCAACATGTCATGTCACAACAGAATTTGTTACCGTGAGCTTACATCTCCAGGCCTCCCACCTGGAGTGGTCAATGGCAGACATGCAAAACAGATACAGAAGGCTACGGTTGGGTCACCATCCCTGGATGTGTTCAAAAACTGTTTGGATGTGGTGCTCAGGGACATGACTTAGCGGAGGGTTGTTAGAGTTAGGGTAGCATGGTCAGGTTGTGATTAGTCTTGATAATCTTTAAGGTCTTTTCCAACCTGAGCAATTCTATGAGTCTACTTTTTTTTTTAAACAAGGTTTGTTTCTTTAAATTTGCTAGGATTTTGCAAGTACTGTAGGTTCATGTCAGATGCTGACTACAGTACAAGTATACTGTAACAATTTCATTTTCTAAAGCAGAAAATGGGATTAAACAATGAGAGTATGTAAAATTGAAAAGCATTAACAGTTTCAAATAATTACTACACCAATGATTGTAACGTTTAGAAACTGTATTCAAAGACATTTCATTAACTTGGTTTTTTTTTTGTGAGCCAAGCCCTCAGTGCTTAACAAACTTTCCCCACACACTGCTAACAATACAGAGCTGTTTAACTGAAACAGGGCACAACCCTCTTTAATCCTAGTTTAAGGACTGCCTGCTTAAATACTTTTAATGAAATATGGTAATCTCATTTAAGAAAAATACGAAAGTACGATAAATGCTGTTAAGTAGTAATAGACAGTAACATGAGAATTTTTTATTATTAAATCTGAGAAATACATGATATTGGGGTCAGGTGCACGTTTTTAATTCCCAAACTATGAAGACAAAATAGCTGATGTCCTACAATTAAAAGCAACAAATTAAACAAGTGTTATAAGCAGAGGTCCCTACTCTGATGAGTAAAGAAGAAACATACCATGACAAATTATGCATACCAGGATAGAGACTATTTTCTTGGAACTGACTCATGCAAAAATTCCAGTATATAAATGTTTTTTCAA